TTCAATAAAAGAAAAACATTTAGTGACAGAAGTTTCGGAACTATTGGTCCAAAATTGTGGAATCCGCTGCCATTTGAGTTGAAACAATCTCAGAATATGGATATATTTAAGAAAAATCTTAAAACACTTTATTTCAGAAAGTTTGAATCACTATTTTAAACTCTGAAATGAGATAAACATGAGTAACGTATAACTGATGACTGACAGTGTGATGAATGTGCAATATAAATGAATGTTTTATTCTTTTTAATCTATTTGTAATCAAGTTACATGTATGTAAATAATCTTAATTCATGCTACATGTATATCAATCATTTGAAGCATGTTTTCTGCTCCACGTTGACGGGTTCTGTATCTGCGAAGTCTGTGTAATAGCCGCATACGACCCTCTAGTAGTAATGTCTGTTGAATACTGTGTATAACGTTTGGCTCTTTTGCGACGTTCTTGCCGAACTTTACGGTTAGCCTGCATTTGAGCACGATAAATTTTCTTCTCGTCATCTGAATTCTCGGCGAGAGGATGCGCTTCGTGTTCCTCCACGACTTTCCACTCATGCTCGGAAGAATCAGCTTATTTAAACATTTTTTTACGATGCATAATAATGTCTATACCTTCTGATATTTTCTGTTTGGCGCCTTCTGTGTCTGCTGCGCTGAATGAATCGCCCGTGACGAGCTCTTCCGCCTGTCGCATTTTGTTAAGCACAAGGGTATTCACCTTGACCTGTTGCTCGTGACCCTTCTTCCTCAATGTTTATATATCGTCCATAGCTTTGATGGTAGAAATTTAAGACTGAAAAATCTCCCTTTGAACTGTATTGATACGCTGCTCAAAAGCTCCCAACTTCGAGTCGATAAGCCTCTCCATTTGAGACAAAAACTGATTTTCGCTGTGCATAGATCTAGACATTTCTCTGCTGCCAAGTGTAGTTAATAGCTTAAGTGCAACTTGATAAAACACGAGTTGTTAACGCTGTGAAATCGTCAAGTAGAGTGACCAATACACAATATTATTTTACACGCCAGTACAAAAAACCTTGCTTTTACCACCAATAAAAATGCCTACAAAAATACGTTACGCAAAGACAAATATTTCCCCCTATTCGATGAAACGCATGAAAATTATATTCTGCAGAACAACGGTTTTTGTTTACTATTGCATCATGGTTTAACTGGTAGCCATTTTGCTGAATGCTTTGGATGTTATAAAGAATTTCAATAAATAACTGCTTTAATAAAGTCATCTCAATGCTTGAATATTCATGAACAATAAAAAAAATACATTCACATGAAAATTATACTGATAACAATGTAAACCACCTAGCCATCTTACTTCTGTCTGTCTCGTCATAGTATGTCAAGACATAGAAACACATGGTATCAACAGATTGCTGAAACTACAGTATCCTTTGCACGGGCATGCACTTTGTGTAATAATTTAACACAATCCAACGCCAGTTCAAGTATACAACCCCTTACCTCTCCAAACAGCTTCTCAAAAGATGGAAGTGTGTCCCCACACACCATACCGGTACTTCTAAACCACAAACTAAAAATTATGGTTCAAAAGATAAAATTATCTGCGTTAATTGCCAATCCATTGTGAACAAAAACATGATTTTCAAATTATGATCCTTTCTCAAAACCTGATGTTGTCACCATAACAGAGTCATGGCTAAAAAATGAGCACATAAAAAGTGAAATCGTCCCAACATACATCGGACACACAGTCTTACCGAAAGGATAGACAAACAGGAAAAGGAGACATGGTGTATCAATACTTAAAAATTATAATCTTAATACATGTGAACAACTAAAACTAAGCACTGACTGTGAAATTATATTGGTTAAATTAGAAATTAAAGGTAACAACCCATCTTTCATTGCCTCTTACTATAAAACACATAAAAACGAAATAAAATGTATACTCAAATTTGAATAAGAAACATGGCAATGCAATAAAACTAGGTTTTTAATTATCACAATTTTAGAAAGATTTGTTGTAGTTGAAAAACAAATACAAGCAACGAACAACGTAACTTTGTGCAATGTAAACATAAATAATGAAACGCCACATTTCCTTGTTGATCATGTTTATCATATTTAACATTTTAGGGCCCAAAAGCTGTCTTATGCGAGGTCAGCACATAAGCTCAATTTTAAGCAAGTGCCATTAAAACATCTCATTCCAAACTCTAGTCATTGATCAGCAATTTATTACCTATTTTGAGGAACAAAAACCTTGACTTGATATCAATATCAATATCGTATTCCAAACTCTAGTTTATGACTTGAACATATTTATTATTTCTACTAACCGTTACCTTGATCTTGGTTCTAAGGGACCCGAAAGAGATATATGAAAAATATTTACATAAGCTTGCTATACATCAAGTTTATGTGAAATATTTCATTCCTTACTCTTGTTATTGACTGGAAGCAGATTTTCCATTTTGAACATCAGTGCCATTGACATTGACTCTACAGGACCCAAAAGTGGGCAGATGAGCTAACAGGCGTTTAACAAACCAGATCGTTTCTGTTCAATAATTATATAAAGTTTGATTAAATGTTCAAGTTGTGATTAAATGGATATGATTTGTAAATAATAAAATTTTATGGAAAAAACGAAAGACTATAATTAGGTCAAACGTTTTCCGATCACAAAACCCTGCCAAAATGCACAGGGCAATTGATAACAAAGCTTCTGTGAAAGTTTGGTGAAAATCCCTTGAGATATGTAGAAGGAATTGCGCACAGAAGAAATTGTGTACGCCTGCCCGCAAGAAATCTTAAAGGCACAAACATAATCCCAGGAGACTTTAACACACTTTCTTAAACTTACATGGGAACATGTTTATTCTTACTAATTTGTCCTTAGTCCAAACTCCACATACAAAATAAATTCCTAGAGGTTATTGGAAATTACACCCTTATTCAAATGGTAATTGTAAATACAAGACATGTTAATATTTTAGATATCTACCTAATCCCGAGGGACACACTCAACAAAACAGAAATAATCTTATAATTATCAGATCATAACATCATCCCAACAACTCTACATGCAAGACCTATTATCTTAAATAACCAAGAAACTGTCTAGTCTATAAAAAGCAAACTGATCTTAACTCAAAAATCATATGCAAATACTTACTCAAGAACTTATTTACAAGGTGTGAACTATAGACACATCTGAAATCTCAAAAAAACCTTATTTGTTCGAAATGAAAAAATAGGATCTTAAATATCCCTCCCCTAGTAACAAAATCAAATAAAAACTCATGACAAAAAAAGCCATCTATACAAAAAAACTTACAAATTGTGAACTAAGGAAAATTTAAAAAAAAACTGAAAGTGCACATCAAAACCCAAATTAAAACATCTTATGATTAATACTTAGAACAAAAACAAGAACTTGATGACAATGATCCAGCATACACTCAAACTAAATTTCTTACTAAAAAGCTATATTCACATTAAAAACATTTTAAGGAAGATTCACAAAATGTATAAACCATCGAACATCAAACCATATGCTTTCTTTTATCAAACATCATTGACAATACCAATAAACTGAAAAGGTAGTTCAGGCTTTTTTACAGTGCACAGTTGTTACTTCAACAAACTTGCCTGCAAAAACTATATTGCCTTTACCCCACAAAACACGGTACCTATAAGTAAAAAAGGGATGCTGAAGCCTCTTTAGCCAACCTTCAGATAGACAAAGCTGCATGACCAGACCTTATTCGGCCAGTATTCCTCAAAGAACTGCTGAAAGAAGTCGTAGATATTATCAAAATACTGTTCCAAAAATCTCTATCATCTGGTGCTATTCCCTCTGATTGGACCAATGCCTTTGCTTGCCCTATTTACAAAAAAGTGATAATACAAACCAAGCTTATTACCGGTCTATTCAACCAATTTGTATCCTTTACAAAACGCTAGGTCATGTTTTTGCTTCCCATCTATCTTCACACTTTAGTAATTACAATATTCTTTTCGATCTTCAGCATGGCTTAAGAGAGAACAGTTCATGTGACACACAGCTTATTGAACTAAGAGATTCATCACAGCAGGCAAACAAACATCTTATCTCCTTGACTTTGGCAAAGCATATGTTTGAATAAATCAAAGTTTACTCTCTCTCTCTCTCTGTCTCTCTGTCTCTCTGTCTGTCTGTCTCTCTCTGTCTGTCTGTCTCTCTCGCTCTCCCTCTCTCTCATATGTTTGAATAAATCAAAGTTTACTCTCTCTCTGTCTCTCTGTCTCTCTGTCTGTCTGTCTGTCTCTCTGTCTGTCTGTCTGTCAAAGTTATATCAAAGTTTACTCTCTCTCTGTCTCTCTCTCTCTCTCTCTCATCTTATCACATCCAACAATTCCTGCCTATCACACTCGCAGGAGGATGTCATATGAAATTCGTGACCAGGTCTTTCCTAATCAGAAAGATTCCTACTCGATATCCAATACGTATAGTTGCATGTCTTTCTGCCAATCAAACGTGTCCAGGTGTGAAATCATGTCACCACGAAAATTTAATAACTGTGATGAAAGGTCGGTTTGGACCTTAAAACGTAGTTTCTTGAAACCGATGATACTCTATAAGCGAGTATGCCAAAAGCAGGTTTTATATAAAATAAAGAATGGAAAACATCGGTACAGCGCAAAGGTGCTTCCGAATTCTATTCGACTTTGCTGAAAGTAAATTTCTCTGTATAATGTCTCATCTCTTAGTAAGACATTCCTACGTTCATCATGATAAAATTCTAAACTTTTGCAGATAAATAAATAGTTCCCCTGCCTTACGATTATCCATTTCTAATTTAGATATAACTAGGTGATTTCCCAAAGTTGCCACGCTCTGTCTAATTATAAAGCTCAAATCCTTGTGTTAGCCTGAACTCTTGTGACCTCATCTCAATGACAAAACTATCTCAGCAATCAAGAAACAAATTTGAAATGAATGCAAGTGACTAAGAACTTTATAACGTTGATTTCAGGCGGACAATAAGCTTTTTGTGGCGGCCATAGACGTTGGATCTTCGTTTTCTGGTTGGGCATTTTCCTCTATTTCGGATTTAGAACAGGCAAAAACAAACATTCATGTAAAGTCTTGGTATTCAACATACACTTCATATTCCACTGGAAAAACACCAACATGCGCCTTGATAAAACCAGACGGTGAAACACTGGACTCGTTCGGCTATGAGGCAGAAAGAAGATATGATGAATTATTATCCAAAAACCAACACGAGAATTATTTCTTCTTTAAACACTTCAAAACTCGTCTGTATGTAAAGTATAATGAGGTAATATTATTTTCAAATTTTTTCCTCCTAGTGGTGGTGTATCTCGACGAATATATAATATGTGATATGTACGAGAGAGAGAGAGAGAGAGAGAGAGAGAGAGACAGAGAGGGAGAGACAGAGACAGAGACAGAGACAGAGAGAAAGAGACAGACAGACAGACAGACAGACAGACAGAGAGAGACAGACAGGCAGACAGAGAGACAGAGAAAGAAAGGGAGAGAGAGAGAGAGAGAGGGAGAGAGAGAGAGAGAGAGAGAGAGAGAGAGAGAGAGAGAGAGAGAGAGAGAGAGAGAGAGAGAGTGAGATATATTTACAAAGAGTTCCTTTTATCTGATCATCATATATGTATGTTACATTATTACCTTGTACTCTACCGTTCAATTTTTAATCTATTAATTTTTCGTCTAACATTTTTACAAAAAATACTTTACTATTAAAATAAACGATCCATCATGAGTGCACACTAAATGGAATTATACAAAGACTGAATGAACTTTACAAAGGTTTTCTTTTATCTTATCATGATGAATGCATTGTCCATTTCACAGCCGTTGAACACAGGAATGAAGCTTGTTGACCAATTGGGAAAGGTGCTTCCAGCAATAAAAGTATTTTCAGCAAGCATTTGGTTTTTAGCAAAGGACATGTTTTCTGATTTAGAGAAAAGATTTCAGGATATTCGACTGGGAGATATAAGATGGGTTATTACTGTCCCTGCCATCTGGACAGACCAAGCAAAATATTTGATGAGAGAATCTGCTTTGCAAGTAAGGTCCTTTTCAAATAGATAGGTGTCCATTACCACATTTGCTGTCGGAATGGCATATTCACATACCTATACATATTTCGATTAAAGTTATATAAATATGAAATATATAAAAGCTTTATTATAAATATATGTATTATTAAATGCCTCAAATATTTGACTTCTTTTCATTATAAACAATACTGTATCATCATCACCTACTGATCTTAAAACCAAAAGGGATCGTCTATAGTTATGACTTTCCTTCACAAGTTTTCATTAATCAAAACGTTGACTTTGATATGTCCACTTCTGACTTAAAGGTAAACAAGAAATGTTTGTATAACATGTATGTCCCCTATCGGCAGTCAATTAGTCAAGTGATCAGGTATTTGTGACCGTCTTTTGACCTTGTGATCAAAAAATTAATGAACTTCACCTTTGACCCTTGATCAATAGAAGTTATCTACTTGCCATGACCAATGCATGTACGAAGTTTGAGGGCCAACAATCAATGCGTTGTCAAGTTATTGATCGGAAACTGTTTTACCTACTAGGTCAATGTGACCACCTGACATCAAAATCCATTTAGTTATTCTCATGGTCATGTGCCATAAATAACAGCGTATTTCTTATCAAGCTATTCATCAGACAATGAAATATTTAGGTAAGAAATTACTTACATACGTACATATATACGTACAGATCGATGCTTTCAAAGTATGCTTCCTCTTTGGAAAACAACTTGAAACGGATTAAATAAAAAGATAAAATATATACCAAAACTAATCAAGTGAAGATCCAAACTATGTCACCTACATTATGGTTTCTTGATTACAAATAACAACATACACATATCTGTTGTAGGCAGGATTACCATCGAACAGTATAGTTATTGCTCTTGAGCCAGAAGCTGCGTCAGTTTATTGTCGGCAACTTGATGTGTGTGCTGTTAATAGAGACACGGGTGTTATGTTATCTTCCCTGGAGGTTGGAAGTAAATACCTCGTGTTAGACGCTGGTGGTAGGTATTCGGTTATTTTAAATAAAGGTACATTACAGGCCGATTACAATTGATATCATAATATATATTTAAAAAGGGTGAAATGTATTTTAGTTGTTCTCATACCGGTTTAAATTATTTACATGTATTTGTTTTTCATTATTACATCATAGTTCAAACACTGCAAAAATCCTCACTAGTGTTTTTTGATGTAAAAATAATTTAATATCACATATTTTTGGAGTGTGAACAAAAAGAATCTGATTCTTTCAAAACTAATAATAAGATTTGTACACATGTATTATTCAAAGCACAACTTACTCTTCAGGTGGAACAATAGATTTAACAATACACGAAATTGCTCCTTCAAATCGTGTAAAACAAGTTGTTGTTTCAAGTGGAAATATTTTTGGTGGAAATGAAGTGAACAATGAGTTCGAAAAGTTCTTAAAAACTGCTCTTTCTGATGAAAAGTATGAACAATTTAAAAAATTTGAAACTGAAGATTGGTTGTTTTTAATGGGCGAATTTGAAGTGAAAAAGAAATCTTTTAATCCAGAAAATACCGATTGTGTGAATATGAGATTTCCGCAAAGTTTGAAAGATATATATGAAGCAGACAACCGAAAAACAATTCTACGAAAAGTCAAAAAGACAAAAAAAATTGAAAAGGCCTTGAACCGGACGGGCTTTGGCAAAGACATTATAATCAAACGAGACAAAATGTCCTTCCCATCAGATGTTTTCGTCAAGTTCTTCGGACCTGCTGTAGAAATGACAATACAACAAATGAAAAAGGTATTAGGAAACATGCTTGTAGGATCAATATCCTGCATCTTAATGGTAGGTGGCTTCTCTGAATGTATCCTTTTGCAGCAAGTTGTAAAGTCTGAATTTGCTAACATTCCTGTTATTGTACCAGTAGAGGCGTCAACTGCAGTGCTTCAAGGGGCGGTTTTATATGGATATAATCCACCTGTTATTCTAGAGAGGGTGGTGAAATATACATACGGTGTTGCAGGTAGTTCAGATTTCAAACCGGATAAACACCCTATAGAGAAGCGTTTCGTCACTGATTTTGGAGTTCAGTGTAACGATATATTCTCAAAGCATGTTACTCGAGGAGATTTAGTAAAATTTGACACGCAGCACAAGAAACGGTATTTCATACAGAATCGAAATCAGAACAAGGTACAAATTGATATATATGCATCAGAACTTTCAAACCCGAGATTTACTACAGACAAAGACTGTCATGTTGTTGGTAAGATCATCCTAGACTTATCTTGCACAGATGATATACGTAATAACCCAATAGAAGTTACATTTGCGTTTGGAGGCACAGAAATTACTGTAACTGCCGAAGAAGCAAAATCAGGGAGAAAAGTTAGTACAGTTGTCAGTTTTCTTGAATAAGATTGACACGATTGACGTGAAGAGACAGAATAATATTTTGTCATCAACACTTCCGTGGATTAAGGTTAAGACTTAATAAGCAGAAAACTAACTATATATTTCACATTCCATTTAATGTATTCGAAAGTAATTTGGAAGTCTCTGTTCAGTTGTGTTTGTGCATAAACGTAGATAATAAATGATAACTATTACGAACTTAGAAAAATCCACGTATTCAAATATATTCAAATACTGTTGACAGAATTGCTATGATAAAGATATTTCACCTAGTCATCTTGAGTCAGGTGTCAAACATCTGAGAAACATTGGTATCAGCTTAGCCTTTTTTATTTCACAATTTAAATACGATTTGTTATTATTCCAAATTCATGATTATTTGTGACGGATAGTAGTACAATTTGAAAGTAGGTTACCTCATTCTTGGCACCGAACTTGAAGTTAAAAAAAAAAACAGAACTTCAACAGGAAGCTAAAAATATAATACGGAAAACCCAAACATTTAGATTTGTATAACATTATTTCTGGGCGCATACTATGATAGAATATTGAAAATTGAGACAATCATCATTAATCGTAGGTTTACTAGTACCTTAATTCGTAAGCATGTTTATCGGAAGTTAGGGTCTAAATCATATAGTTCTGTTATTGAGTGTGAAGGCGTAGTCTTTGACTTATTGCAGCAATTATTTGTTAATATTCAGTGGTATGGATAAATTTCAAACAAACCTATGTTTTCCTAAGGTAAGGATATTTGAAAATGTCTAGCCACATATGTTTGCTTATTGTAGCTACTACATGAAAGACGAAATATTGTGTAACACATATATGGTATTCATTTTTATATGAATTTGCAATACATTTGCATCGGATTTTAGGCACGACAAACCATTGTATGCCATTAAAATGATATTTTTAGTAAATCGACACATAATATAACATTTACAACAAATAAACCACCTACATATTGCATTTAATTTCGTTTTTAAAGACCAACATCGTGTAGTTTGTGTCATTTGTCACTTGAAAACCATTTTGTGTAAACTCGTTTTTTTTCATTAAAGGATGTTTTTTGTTTTGTTTGTTGTTTGTTTGTTTGTTTTTTTTTTTGTTACTGTCACTTGAAATGTAAAACTATGTAAATGTAATAGTGTATATTGGTGCTACAGATGCAATGCAGTAAAATAGTAAAGAAATGTACGCAAAATTAAAATTTTTCAATTCAGAATTTGTATTTAACACAACTGCCTTTTTTGAAAGTAAATGCATATCAACAGAGTAAGTGGGACATTGCAAAAGCACATGTATTTTATTTTTAACAGAGTCTTTACAAAACAGACATACTCCTTTAGATTCAGGTAATATTTTCATTACGCCGTCCAGTTTGTAGTCGAAGTGGTGCTACCACATCTAGACTTTGCTAATGCAGATCTATGTGCATATGGTAATTGTAATTTACAATATGTTTTATCCTCATACGTATTTTATTTTTGATAGAACACCATTTACCGTTTGTATTTCTTATCGAAAAAATGGAAAGGCTATTTGAGAAAATTATGAAAAAAAACATGTGTTGTTTAATAATATAGATAAAAACACATCTTCAGGGGATATATATTGGTTACATCTCGAAATGGATGGATCTTCTTCCTTTCGATGAGAAATCTTTGAAATATAGTCATGAATAATTTCGATCTAGAACTTGTATTGACTCCAGTGGATTTTGCAAGACAACGATCCGACAAGACGCGAAACCGTTTTCACACCCGGCTGCCGGCATAGAATTCCTAGCTCACGGTAGCTTCATTCCAATGTTTTTTACAAATATAGCTCTCAAAGAACTAAATTTGTTAATAAAGAAAGGACCGTATAATAATAATTATAATAATAATAATAACTCATTTGAACAACATATCAATTTTGCAAGAGGCCCTTAACAAAGAACAATATAAATTTAACATATTCAAACTATTTAAATACATACATGTAAAAGTATACATGTGATAAACAACTTGTATACATTGATGTGTGATAATATCAGAGATGTAGCAGACTTGATATAATCAGGAAGTCCGTTCCAAATACAAGTTCCAGAATAAATAAAAGACTTACGAAATTGTTCAGTATTTGGTCTAGGGGTGTAAAGTTAAAAATCAGATGATGAGTATGAACATCTGATGATGAAACGAATTTTATTTAATAAATAAGAAGGCGCCTGATAATTCATTATTTTAAACATCGTAAAAGCTTTTTGAAAAACAACCCTCTGTGAAAAGGTAATCCAGCGTAGTTCAGAAAATAGTTCAGCAGATGGAGTATCATAATATTTGTCTAGAATTAGTCTTGCAGCTCTCTTTTGGAACTTAATGAGTTTATCTTCAAGAACAGACGTGCAGTGACCGTATACCGTTTTTATGAATAAATCTTACGGTAAGCTGTAATCACGCTTTTTGATTGACAGAGTATCATTACGCGATATGGAAACCTACTATAGCCAGACGCAGAACAGGAACCGGAAGAAGGGACTCGGTGAGGCTGGACTGTCTTTACTATCATTGAATGTAAATGGACTAAGTAGATCGAAATTGGAGGACAATGACTTTATGAAGAAACTGTGTAATAATGATACTATGTTTTTGTTTAATAAAATATCTAATTTTGATATAGATGGGTATACAACTTTTAATTTCTATCGTAAATTTCAGAACCGGCGAGCGAAGCGATCTAGTGGTGGGGTATTAGTATACATTAAAAATGAAATAAGTAAAATGGTTACCGTTGTACAGAATCATTTTGACACTTTCCTTGGTTGAAACTTGAAAACATGTTTTTTTTTTTCATTTTACCGATGACATTTATTTAGCTGATGTATATATTTGGGTGGAAGATTCCCCTGCTTTAAACTTTATCAGTGGTGATTTATTTGAATTATGCAAAACAATATTTCTGTTTATGAATCACATGGCATTACATTTTTAACTGGTGAATGGAATGCACGTACATGTTATGGAGACCGCAAGGATGATATTGTTTGTGATCGTACCGGTAGTTTTATAGATTATGATGATTATTCTCCGGACATGCCTTTCGAACATGTGTCCAAGGACCATCTATATAATAATTCGGATATCAAATTATTAGATGTGAGTACGAATTCCAAGTGATTGGCTTGGTCGTGATATTGGAAACAATACTTATAAATGTTCATCGGGATCTAGTGTCAGTGACTATCTAAAATTTTGGTGCAGTAAATTATTTTCTACTTTAACTTTTCCATTTCGTAAGGTATCAACTTCAAACTTCAAATATGTTATTTATCATCAACCACATCTTATGCGACAAGATAAATAACTCTCGCACCAATATTTGCAGATTTATCTCCCCTTGACGTATAATTGTTCTTTAAAATATTATGTTTTACTGTAACTTCTTTATTTCCTTAACGATCAACTTCATACTTCAAGTATATGTTCCTTATATCTGACAAGGGTCATAATTCTAGCACTAATATTGCAAAAAATTATCTCCTCATTAACTTGGATTTTTTACTTGAAAAATGTTATTTCTTCATTACAACTTCTTAAGTTTTAAAGGTATCTTACTCAAACTTCAAATATATACTCCTTATCATCAACCAGATCTTATTTGACAAGGTTCATAACTCTTGAAGCAATATTTCCAGATTTTTTTCTCCCTTTGAACGTTTTGAAGAAATATGATAACTTCTTATTAATAGGTTTCTTCTTTAAACATCAAATAAATATTTCTTATCATTACACACATGTTGTGTTACAATGTCCATAACTCTAATGTGATTATTTCCAGAATTATTCCCCCTTGAACTTGGAATTCATGTTAACAAATTTAACTTCGTGTCATAAGAAGAATTATATTTATATCATAATTGATTTTCTTTTATAATTTCGTCTTCTTTACTGCGTCCAATATTTAATTATTCGAGCTTTGCTGTCTCCTGTGACAGCTCTTGTTCTATTAAATGTCACGTATTTGCACGAGGATAATGATATTTATTATGAAAGCACTACTTGACGATGGAATAGTGAGTTACAGAACGAATTCCGTAAAGGTCTTATAATGTTAAAATACTATTACCGAAAATGTTAATTTTAACGTAAGATTACATTTTAATTCATGTATCGCATTCTTTGTAAATGTGAGAAGTGTGGCAGATCCATTATTTAGTAAACGTAGAAGAATATATAATACGCCATGTGCCGATGGTAAACTATGTAAAAAGTCTGAGAAGTTTGATGAAGATTGAAACGTTCAAAAGAGGTATATTTAGGTTCTGTATCTAAATATAAGATGAATAAAAAATAATGAAAATATAATAGTATAAAAAGAATGTGTACTAAAAACTGATTGCTAAAAATGATCAAAAAGAAATGTAGTTATGAGATAAATATGTCAAGAACTATTGAACCCCTGCGTCACTGTTAACCTAAAAAGACGATACATAAGAATAATATTCCGATAGAAGATTTTTTGAGCTCTTTTTTTACCCTTAGTAATGATCTGCCAAATGCCTTGCATACCAAACGTAATTTTGCATGTTACAAAAATTAACTTGTATCTTATAGTATTGATGTACTGTACGAGGAACTAGATGAACCTTTAGCAGTTGGTGAAACATATTGTGTTATTCGTTATTTAAAGAAAAATAAGGCTTTGAAGTTATTAGTCCTCTACCGGTTTAATCGGAGGGGACTTGAGATTTACCTTCGGTCCGTCTGTCCGTCCGTCCGTCTATCCGTCTGTCTGTCAGTCCGTCCGTCTGCATTGGATCCTGCAATAATGCAAAAAGTACTGAAATTATTTTTATGAAACTTTATATATGAGTAGATACATAGTCTGGAGATTATGCACGTCTTTTATTTTTCTTATGTTGAAAACTTTGGTTGCTATGGCAACAAATTGACTGACAATATGGCTAATTTAACACATAAACTGGATCCAGCGAACACCCAAAAAGTAGTGAAAACATTTTTATGAAACCTGATATATTATAGGAGTGGATGGCAGTCTGGAGAATATGCACGTCTTCGTCGTTTCTTCCTATGTTGAAATTCTTGGTTGCTATGTCAACAAATATGCTTAAATTATTGCAAATATAACATTTTTTGTCATTACTCAAAAATTAGGGAAAACAAATTATGAAACTAAAAATATATGTTACTGATCATCAACCTTATCATATGTGACAAAGTTTACAAATCTAGCACAAAAGGAATCAGAACTACCCACCTTGAACTTAGAATGTTCATGAAAAATGATGATTTTTTAATAACTACTTTATTTCATAATGTATCTATATATATGTGTGTGTGCGTGCGTGCGTGCGCGCGCGTGCTTGTGTGCGTGCGTATGTGTGTGTCTTATTTTTACTCAAGTAATTTGGTAGAAGGTTCAATACTCCAGCTTGACTTTTTCCAGAATTATGTCCTCCTTGAACTTAGATTTTTTTTTCTAGAAATTATTATATTTTACTCAAACTTCTTCATTTTCTATCATAATAATATGACAAGGGTTTTAAATCTAGCGTCCATATTTCCAAAATTATCTCCTCCTTTAACTTTGAATTTATCTTTGTCATTCTTTTACTCTTTTACTTTCTTATTTCTCCATGGATTTACTTCAAATAAAAAAAAAACATTTATTATCAAGACCTACTTCATATGTGATTAGATTTATAAGACATGCATTTCCATGATTATTTTCATTTCAACTTGAAATTTACTTGATTTTTTCTTTTTATAATTTTATTCTTTGTTATTATATATGGTAATTCTTTTTAATTTTTTGTTTTCACTTATCTTCTTTATGTATTGTCCAGGTCAAGCAAATATAACTGACAAGACGAACTTGTTTGGTATGAGATAAAACACAACACTTAGGTTGAATGAAATAGGGCATTTATTAAATGCCATAAATGACAAATGTTACATAATAACAATTTAAACATGGCATGAACATATTTGTACCAAAATAACCAAACTGGGAGATTGAGCATAAAATCTTATTTGTGACTT